ACATTGCGAAAAAAACCGTTATGTTTGAGTAGTTACTAAGAATTGCAGATATCAAGTTGTACACCCACTCATGTTTGTCTACAATTGGTTTTATATTCGTGCGGCATTGGTCTTTGCCAACAGTGGGATCGTGCGCATACAATCAATCAATCCTCATCTCCAGTGAGACATTAGGCAACAACAATCTGACTCCATTAAACCCTGTTTCGTGGAGCATGTTGTGCCTAATCCCAAGTGGAATTTACCTGGCCGAATTCAACCCTAACGGTTCGGCGCTAGTTGGCTTTTTGCCGTCCATGAAAAACTGCATGCTATTTACAAACATCTGCCTCTTAGTAGCAGATATAATGGACATACAAAACAATTACAACTATCCCGTTCATGTCCACATTCTGGGCGTATAACACCACATTTTAAACATATGAGGACGTGTAATGCAAGTATGGATACAGCTATATCACTCTTGAGTGTGTCACGACTATGAAATAAACTGTAGCATGTTCTTATTGCTTCTTCTCCGGGTGTTGTTCCAATTGACGCATGCTGTGGGAGAGGTTGAGGACTATCAACCTCCGCTAATAATAGTATCTCTGGATGGATTGGATTGGCGAGTTTTGAAAGTTCAACTTTCCAAAACTACCTATTTGAACTTCATTGCTCGAACAGCAGTCAGAGCCGACTACATATGAAATGTCATGCCTTCCTCTACATGGCCCAATCATCTCACTGGTCTGTACCCGGAAAGTCACGATATTGTGGATAATGTATTCTGGAATTTACGGAGAGCAGTTCAATTTTCGGCAATGACTGCTCAAAATTTAATCCTAAGTTTTACAATGCATCAGAGCCAATATGGCTGAGTCTGCAAAACCAAGGAGGAGGTAGTGCATCGTACTTTTGGCCTGCAACAACAAGTTATCAAGTCAAACCCACGCACTACCAAAGAGAAACTTGTTTGATTAACTGAAGTGCACTCCATCCTCAGGACCTTCCAAAGTTTAGGAGCAGAACTCTGCCAGGCTTTCCGCCTTACGTCCACACTGCGTTCGACAGAAGAGTTCCGTGGTCTGCACGTATTGATAAGGCGGTAGAGTGGCTTGGTTCGGAAAAACCTCCGCATTTCATCGCTCTCCGTTTCGAACAGCCCGTTAATACAGGTCACGCATACGGACCATTCTCAAACGAGTACAAGTTAATGGTAAAACATAATGATGTAAATGTTTTTGGATTCTTACTCAAGCGTTTAAATGAAAGTGGCTTTCTGCAAAAAGTGAACTTAATAGTGGTTAGCGATCATGGAATGGATAAATCATCGTCTAGTCGTCGAGTGTGCTTGGATGATTACATCGATCCCTCGAGCTACACGTTGTCAGTTGAGTTCAGGTTCTGAACCGGGAAACATCTGGCCCAAACCAGGAATGATAAACATGGTACATCAAAACCTCACAAGAAAAAAGTCCATTACCTCATGTCCGGAAAGTGTACAGAAAAGAGAAAATACCAGATGAGTATCACTGGAAGAATAATCGCCGAATTCCACCGATCTACACCGAGACTGAAGTTTGTTGGTTGGTTACACGTTCTCGAAACGATGCTCTGCAAGATCAAGGATGGCAAGGCTGGCCACCTGACCAATCAAAAAGCTATTCAATATTCTACGCCCGCGTTCCCGCTTTCAGGGAAGGTGTGGTGGTGAACCCTTTCAATACCGTGGATCTGTGCCCCCTGATGAGCAAACTTCTTGGAATAAACCCGCGTCCAAATAATGGCTCTGTGGAAAACGTCAAAGCTGTCCTGAGAAAGGCGCCCACCACCGCTAAAAAAGTTCTTCATCGCCATTGCTTGATGCTTGTGTTGGTAACACTTCCTATGAACTTCGCAATTATTAACACTTGAAGCAATAATTATATTTCCTTGATAATAACTAGAATGCCAACCTAAACCGAGCCAAATCATGATTGGTATTCACGGCACTACTCCTTGTTTGTGCTAAAGTTGTCCTAAGAAATAAAGAGGGTAAGTTTCCAAAGAAACTGTGGTGCTGCGTCTGTGGGTGTCACAAGGTAATTTGGTTATATCAACTAAGTTGAAATTGTAAATTGTCCATCGTAAAAAGTTAAAAAGCTGAAGTTTCGAGCGTTGGCCCTTCGGCAGAGCGAATGGAGGAATTGTGGGTTGTGTGTGGTTTAAATGAAGAAAGTGGAGTTAGCTCCTCTCTGGTAGAGGAGGTAGCGCCGATACAATCACCAATGTAGCAACCGTAGAGTTCAGGTTTGGGGCCGTTGTAGCTGAAAAATTGGTGTTCGACAAAACCTACAAAAATATTGGCATAGCTAAGTCCCATTTTCGTACCTATGGCTACGCCATTGGTTTGTTTGAAAAAGTTGTCTACGAAAGAAAAACAATTGAGTGTGAGCGCTAGTTCAGCTAAACGAAGTAGTGTTTCAGATTTAGGTTCCTTAATTAGCCACTACTCTTTATTTGTGCTAATGTGCGATTCAGTTAGCACATGGGTACAATCAGCTGTTGTTTGTTGCAGACATCGCCTTGAAAATTTCATAAGTTTACAGTTCATCAACCCTTTTTAACAAAAGAACGCTATTAACAATCATGTTTTTTAATCCCATTACATGCATCTTAACTTTTTTCATAGCAACCTTGGCTACATCATGCTCGATTTAAACGTCACCTCTCGTGCTATATCTCTTTCACTGAGTAGCATAAAACATGTCATTTTGCAGTAGTTTCTATTTAGAAACTTACTCAGTCAGTGATATGTATTGTGCATCAAACATGATCATTATTAGCGCCTCGAACGGTTTCGAGTCGAACCCAGACGTTTCGTTCTCAGTGGATTCGTACCCAGTCAGTAAGTCGTTTCTTTTGCATACTTATAGAACGGTCGGTTTATTTTTCCTGCTTATAATATAGGGAAAACATCACACTTACTTTAGGCGAAGCACAAATCACCTATTATTATGGCAGTTAAAACGTCTGGATGCCAGAACCTATATACACGAAAGCTGGGCGTCTAGGACGTGGCCAGCTAACATGTTTAGAATTTACATATGTACCTCAAAAAAAAGAAAAACTAATACAAAATGATCAAAAAAAAAAATTATTATTATTATTATTATTATTGTCAATAGAGTCAGAAGTATGAAGAACAGAGTTTTCTAACAAAGACATCACACCTTGGGCTTAAACGCCTATCATTGGCGCGTATTGTTTACGCTCAAACGAGCACTATTTGATTTAGTTTTACCTCCTGGCAAACAGACGGTGGTAGGGTACTCATTCTGTCCGTTTCTTACTTAACACCATGCTTTTTCTGTATTATTTGGTCAAGTTTTGAAAAATCCAGTTATTTCTAACAAATATTTTGTTATAATTTTTTCTTGAATATTTGTGGTTGACAAATACTCATAGTTAATTAAGCGAACCCAGTTCGCTATTAACTATTTTCCGCATATTCCATGCAACACTGGGCGCAATTTTATTAGAGGCGCGTTTTGTTGTCACGAATGAAGTACTGACATGAACATACTTAACAGCCTGATACTGGTTCTTCTCTGGCTTTTGTTCGTTTTAAATGATGGTGCGGCTGAAGTCAAGGATTATCAACCTCCGTTGATAATAGCATCACTGGATGAAATGGACTGGCGAGTATTGAAAAGTCAACGTTTCCAAACTGCTGAATCTAAACTTAATGGCACAAACAGGAGTCACAGCTGAATACATAAAAAATGTTCTGCCCACCTCTGCATGGCCCAATCATCACACCATTCTCACTGGTCTGTACCCGGAAAGTCGCGGTACAGTCGAACCTTGATTATCCGGACCTCGATTCCGGACCATTCGAATAGCCGGATTTTTTCCTCTGGTCCCAGTTTTTTTATGAATATTAATTACGTATGATGCACGATCCTCGCAGTAGACAGCGCTATTTATGCAATAGCGAAAATCAGACCTGATTTTCGCTATTGCATCGGCCTGCTCCCAGTTGGCTTGTTCGCTCAATTGGTAGAGCGATGCACTAGTATCGCAGAGGTTAGTGGTTCGAATCCCGTACAGGCCTGATATTTTCAGGTCTGATTTTCGTTATTGCATAAATAGCGCTGTCTACTGCGAGGATCGTGCATCATACGTATCTAAGACCGCAGTTCAAAATATATGAACTTCATATATTCATTGTATCTGAATATTAATTAGTTGTGATCTTGAAAACTCGAAGCGATCAATTCAAGCTACGAGTCTTTGAAGCAAACAAACATGCTTGAACATTTTAGACCTTTGTAAATACCTGAACTGAAAGTTTATTTGTAAATACATACAGACTGTGTAGATTTCACAATTAAATTGACGTTTTCTTTCCTGCATACCTTTTGTCTACATTCTATCTCATTAATATTCATATTTTCGATTATCCGGACTCCCGGTTATCCCGACTATTTTTACCGAGGTCCTGACAAGTCCAGATAATCGAGGTTCGACTGTATTGTGGATAACAGATTTGAGGATCCTTTGTACGAAGAAAAGTTTATTTTCAGTAACGACTGCTCTAAATTTGATCCCAAGTTTTGCAATAGAATAAATAGATACGTATGATGCACGATCCTCGCAGTAGATAGCGCTATTTAAGCAATAGCGAAAATCAGACCGAATCACCCGCTCGTGTTTTGATGCGTTCAAATCGATTTGTTTTCTCGCGTTTATAAGAGTTTTTCGAACCATTTTCCCTCTACAGAAGCTCTCAGGACAGCATCATTAAGCTGGAATGTGGGTAGAGGCAAGCCTCTGAAAGAAAACAGAGGTGAGAGGTGGTTTCATGTAGACTGGACCGCCAAAATGCTTTTATGCAAGCTTGGCGAGTTCACAAGTGAAGTCTTGTCTCTGGCCCATCTGTGGATGGCTACCAGGACCTACCAAGGCTTTTTGGGCCAGTTTTGAGTGGCAAAAGTCTCGATGATGTGATATTTTGCTGGTAGGACTGGGTGGCCCGACACGATTCTGATAATTTGTTAGAATGGAAATGTGAGGTGTTGCCTTCACGAGTTGTGGTGGAATGTCCCAGAATTCTTTTCGGTCATAAATGAGGCAAAGGTTGTATTTGGGACACTAGCTTTCGTCAAAAGGAAGAACAAGGGCTAGCGGATAAAGCGAGAACGCATTATCTAGCCAAACAACAAGATCTGGCCCTGAGGTGTGTTTTAAATGCAAACTTTTGATTTCTTGAGCAAGTTTTTATCTTAAAAGATCGACACTTTTTCAGTGTTGCTCTTGGAGCAGAATGCTGGATCTTTGGGATTTGTTGTTATATGAACGCTTCACTGCAATGGAAATCGGGAGTCATTGTGGATGTTCTAGGCTGCTATAGGAGTCACATCAAACAGCCTTGCAATGTACACACTTACATAATGTTTTCTCTTAATTTCAACAAGAAACAAATAACAATAGTAGTGGGTGTTATGACGCCCATGTATGGGTGGCTTGCTAGAAAAGGGTTAGTGCCTCGTTGTAATTCATCAAGGAAAAAATGATGCGCATAGCCCTTTTCTGAATGCCCTCAATCTAATAAGGTAGAAGATCTGATATATTCTGTCAGACAGGGGCAGCATATTGTAGAACAGGACGAACAATGGTTGTGTAAAACCTTAGCCAGTGAAGTTGGAGATGCACCACATTGCTTAAGGACCCTCAAAGGGAAAGTACAGTCTAGAAAAAGTTTATCTCAGTTAGAGGAATTTTTCCTCAGGAGTTCGAAAATAACTGCCATTTTGTCTAGTTTCCTTTGTATTAGCGACAAGAGCGCTTCGAAGTTGCCCATTTTTACAACTTTCGGGGTTAGAAAAAAGCCATCTTAGATATTACGTCACTGTGACGTAGCAATAGTCAAACTTAATTCGGCACTTTGTCCTTGTTGACTAGTTCGACCTTTTGTAAAAACAATTTCTAATACTCCCAATAGTGGAAATGAGGTGAATTGTCCTGTTGTTGAATGTCAAAATACTTACTAAAATTCAAAAGGAAAAGGTGTAAGCCTCTACAAGCTACCGGAAAGTGAAATATTAAAGAGGAGTTAGCCGGCAAAAATGACCCACGACGACGACTTGCCGAACCCTGTAAAACCTCAGAATTTCCAGAACGAAGNCCAAACAGCAAGATCTGGCCCTGAGGTGTGTTTTGAATGCAAACTTTTGATTTCTTGAGCAAGTTTTTATCTTAAAAGATCGACACTTTTTCAGTGTTGCTCTTGGAGCAGAATGCTGGATTTTTGGGATTTGTTGTTATATGAACGGTTCACTGCAATGGAAATCGGGAATCATTGTGGCTGTTCTAGGCTGCAATAGGTGTCACATCAAACAGCCTTGCAATGTACACACTTACATAATGTTTTCTCTTAATTTCAACAAGAAACAAATAACAACAGTAGTGGGTGTTATGACGCCTATGTATGGGTGGCTTGCTAGAAAAGGGTTAGTGCCTCGTTGTAATTCATCAAGGGAAAAATGATGCGCATAGCCCTTTTCTGAATGCCCTCAATCTAATAAGGTAGAAAATCTGATATATTCTGCCAGACAGGGGCAGCATATTGTAGAACAGGACGAACAATGGTTGTGTAAAACCTTAGCCAGTGAAGTTGGAGATGCACCACATAGCTTAAGGACCCTCAAAGGGAAAGTACAGTATAGAAAAAGTTTATCTCAATTCGAAGACTTTTTCCTCAGGAGTTCGAAAATAACTGCCATTTTGTCTAGTTTCCTTTGTATTAGCGACAAGAGCGCTTGGAAGTTGCCCATTTTTACAACTTTCGGGGTTAGAAAAACTCCATCTTGGATATTACGTCATTGTGACGTAGCAATAGTCAAACTTAGTTCGGCACTTTGTCCTTGTTGACTAGTTCGACCTTTTGTAAAAACAATTTCTAATACTCGCAATAGTGGAAATGAGGTGAATTGTCCTGTTGTTGAATGTCAAAATACTTACTAAAATTCAAAAGGAAAAGGTGTAAGCCTCTACAAGCTACCGGAAAGTGAAATATTAAAGAGGAGTTAGCCGGCAAAAATGACCCACGACGACGACTTGCCGAACCCTGTAAAACCTCAGAATTTCCAGAACGAAGACTTCCAGCGAGATATACAGGCATGTAAGTTTTTCTTTTTGACCTTGGCTTCGAACTGAAAGCTATGCTTACCTTTTCCATATTCAACACAGGTTTACCCTACGTCCACTGTGTGTTCGATTTGAGAGGTCCGTGGTCTAAGCGCGTCGATAAGGCGGTGGAATGGCTTAGTCGGGGAAAACCTCCGCATTTTATCGCTCTCTATTTCGAACAGCCCGACGCGGTCGGTCACTCACACGGGGTGTCCTCACAGGAGTACAGGCAGATGGTAGAAAATGTTGATGTCGATGCCGTTGGATATTTACTCAAGCGTTTAAATGAAAGCAGTTTTCTACCAAAGGTGAACTTGATAGTTGTTAGCGATCACGGGATTGAAGACACTCCCTCGAGTCGTCGAGTGTACTTGGATGATTGTATTGATCCCTCGAGTTACACAGTGATTTATACGGGATCTGTACCAGCGTACATTTGGCCCAAGCTAGGAATGATAGACATCATTTACCAAAACCTTACAAGAAATCCAATACCTCATTTCCATGAAGTGTACAGAAAAGAGGATGTACCAGATGCGTATCATTGGAAGAATAATCGCCGAATTCTACCGATCTACATCGAGACTGAAGTTGGTTGGGTGGTTACACGTTCTCGAAACGATACTCTACTAAATCGAGGATCCCATGGCTGGCCACCTCACTAATCATAAAGCTATTTAATATTCTACACCCGCGATCCCGCTTTCAGAGAAGGTGTGGTGGTGAGCCCTTTCAATAACGTGGATCTGTACCAACTGATGAGCAAAATTCTTGGAATAAACCCGCGTCCAAACAACGGCTCAATGAAAATTACCAAAGCCGTGCTAAAAGAGAGGCACACTACCGCCGGAAAAGTGCTGCATTACCTCTGCTTGAGGCTTGTGTTGTCGACACTTTTTATGGCCTTCGCAGTTATTAACAATTGAAACAATAAAATAGCATGCGTTCTACTTTTGAAGACTTTGTATTTCCTTTGTCAAGAGACTTAAAGTAAGATATAGACTATCTAAACAACATAAAATAGCATACAAATTTGCTCGTTATCAGTCCACTTGGGCTTAATAATGTTCCATTAGTATGCACGTGGGTATTCAGTATCACCTCTTGTTAAATGTTAAAGATGTCACTTGAGAGTTTTGTGGGTGTTAAAGTTTTTAAGCTGTTTTTGACAGAGGAACGCCTTTAGCAATCCCGTTTTCAATCCTATTTCAAGTTTCTCAGCTTTTTTTATTGCAACCTTAGCTACAGCAAGCTCGATTTAAACATCATTTCTCGTTCAATATGTTTTCACTAGTTAACATTAAACATATCCTATACATGGCTGTTTAGATGAAGTGATCCACTCGGCCTGTAATATGTATTGCCCATCGGACGTGACCATCACTAGCGCCTCAAACGCAACTAATCAGACGTCAAACTAGTCCAACACTTTTCCAAACCAATCGTGAATCGCTTACTTATGTGTAAATGTGCTTCTTGAAACCAGTTTTGCGTGATAAATCTGATTCGTCGTTAGTACTTCTGATCTGTCTATCCTTTGAAATTTGTTTGATTTTGCAATTAGTTCCACAAAATATTGAGCGAAAAGAGCCCTCTTCTCAAATGGAGTTATATAAGCTTTTCCCTTCTAACTTCTCTGCTATCCTGGCGACTTAAATGACTCGATTACTCCTGCTAAGGGACTTTGTCATAAGGCTGGAAGAGATCCCTCGTACATAAAAGATCCCTTAGCGAAGGCCACACCCAACATGGTGATAACAATCTTCAACTTGTGCACTTGCTCACAACAAACCCGGCAGCGGCACTGCCGGCTATTTTCTCAGGGAGCGGAAATCAAAGAAAAGTCCATGTTCCCCCAACATATCAATTTTTGAACCGTCAAAGAATATCCAGTGCAAAATAATAGTTAGAGAGGGGCAAATATCTATAGTGGTAGAGACGTCGGGGGAATTGTGATGAATACCTGGACAGCTCATGTAATGGATCAGAGAGTACCCCATAGAAACCAGCACTCCTCCTTGGAGCTTTTTGCATCCAAGGAAGAAATGGATGAAAAGGCTTGTTGTCTTGATAACGAAGGGAATTTTAACTTTGATGCTCTTCTGCCCGCTGTTTATTGGAGACCATACGTTTTACTATCACGGTTGACCACTTTAAAGAAGTTGGTTGTAGAGACATCAATTAAAAGTTCCAGGTATACCTCTCGTATCTGAGTTTGGAGCTTCATGCCGCAGCCCGAGGGCGCTTCCGTCATGAGACTTCGTAGTTAAAAGCAAGAGATAATAAACTGACTTATAAAAAGATACAAGAATTTATATAAGATTTTCCCTTGTAACTACGTTATCGTAGTAGACGAAAATACTTAGTATGATCTTTCCATTGTAAAAGGAACATGTGCATTTGTACGTCAATGGAAGGCGACCACGACCACGGCACCTTTTGTTTCTCGCTTTCTGTTCTTTTTTTTGTTCGTTTGTTTTTGTTTTTTCCCTTTTCTTGTTTGTTTTTCGGGAGCTATTCGATCTATGTAGCCATCGGGGATTGAGCTACAGGTAATGACGGTTTCAAAATGACTTTGTTTTGTCACCAGTTTTTTCGCTGAAGCCATCCCCTCCGCCAAGCACTCTGCCCAACTTTGTGGAAGTTATAGACCACTTTCATAAATGGCTGCCGGATTAATATTCTTTTGTCTAAATTTAAATTAGCCCTTCTGGCCTCGCTCTCCAGTACAAAATTCAAAAGTATACATTATCTCAAGCGAGGCCAGAAGGGCTAATTTAAATTTAATCAAAAGAAAATTAATCTGGCAGCCATTTATGAAAGTGGTCTATGGCTTTGTCCCCAGGGCCTGATCGAAAAATGACTGAGAGAACCCTGGAGCATACTAGGGCTGCCTTCAGCATCTCGTTGCCTTCAGCATCTCTGCCTTCAGTATCTCGCTGTTGTGGCCTACGACCGCTATGCGTCCTGGTCCAGGAAATACTCGCCCTTTTTCAAAAGACTTGTTCCTCTCTCTCTATTTTACTGTTGATTAATCATCCCTAAAAATACGGAAAATGGACGTACAAATGCTCCTACTTTCGTTCATGTTACTTTTCAGTTCACCTGGTGCTTCTTTTTCCGATTGTCCGCAGTCTGAATATCGTGGTTCGACTGGAAGCGTGTACTCTCATGTTCATGGCGAACTTTATGAAAACAACCTTAGTTGTTCGTACAATATCCGAGTTCCCGTTGACCGAAGAGCTATTCTTGAATTTAAGAAGTTGAACATAACAGGAGTGATGCCAGACTGTGAACAAGATTCTTTGGAAATAATAGTGGGGTAGGTATTAAATATGATTTCTTCTCGAAAGGAGTGCCAACCGAAAGTTCACAAAATTAGTAATTAAAGGGAAAGTACGGTCTAGAAAAAGTTTACTTATATCAAAAGTTCCTTGCTTGCATTGTCCTAACTGGCTATTCATCTGAGCTAAAAGCGTTTTAGTCTCGAGCAATTACGTTCCAAAAATCGGCACTTTCAAATTGAAATCCGCCATCTTTGTTATGATGTAGCAATAGAAGTCAAAACATGCTAATTTTATATCGCTGCTGAAGTGGATGTAAACAAGGAGAACAGCGGTGAGGTGGGCGCCACTTATTAAACTCTTCACTTGGATTTTAATCTAGCTGAGAGGGTGTAGTACACCCAATTATGTTTCAAACGAAACATGGCTCGTTTTCAGGGGAAAGAGATACTTCTGTTGGGGAGAAAGAGAGAGAGAAAGTCAAGAAAATTAATTTCAAGAAGAAACGTCGACCCGCTGAGTCGCACACGTCTTGGAAATCGCGAGTGGTTCCCTTGCGGCAACTGTCAAGGGAAACCTACGGAAAACGAGAATGTATCCTCCTAAGAATTAAATGTACCAGGACACCGACTCAATTTGATCTTGAAAAGCAAAGGTTTTTTCTTCAAATAAATCCTCGCTCTGGAGTGATAGTTATTTTGCTAAAAGAAGACCGCAGTGCCCGCTACGGATTCCATTCACATTGCTACCTCGGGATGAGATGAACTATTTTTGCACTTACAGGAACCCAGCTTCAGTGTATAACTGAACACGAGCCATTTGGAACTAATAAGATCAGCCCCAATTGGCGTGCAACAAGTTAGAAATGAGAGACTTGAAGA